TTTAGGTTGAGCTTGCGTTTTCCGGAAACCTTCGCCTGAAATAAAATAGATTATTCAACTTAAGACTAGTATTTGGAATTATAAACTGAAGGAAATATTATCCTAAAACCTGGTTTTTAAGTTAAACTTGCGTTTCCCGGTAGCCCTCACTTCAAATAAAAAAGATTACTGACAGAGGTGTTGCAGAGACTAATAATGTACATAGTCATCAGAAGTTCCTAGAAAATGACCGTAGATGTCCGTAGAACAAGGTCACAAGGAACGTACTACTTGGCTAAAGTGAATATTTCCTGGCAAAATTCTTAACAAAATTCCGTTTTTTCAATTTATAAAGAACATCTTGAAATTATTTCGTCTGTATTTTATTTTCTTGGGATATGAATGAAGTTAAACTTTTGATGACATCAGTATGTCGCCCAATGGGAAGCCTATCTTAGTCCATTAATTGTTACCTAATTTATTGGCTTACTCATGCCGGCTAGGAGAAAATACATACAGAGAATATGACTTATATAAGACCAATAGATTGTTATTATGCACTGATTAAATTAAAACCAAATCCGCGCGCGGAATTCAGAGGCGACTTGCGGTTATTTATCAAATTTTTATGTTGCACTAAACAAGTAGTAACGTTATTACGAAAGGGCGTTTTTTCAGCTAGTAATGTTTGTTATATTGTGACACCCGGGTGCACCTGAACTTTCGTTATATAATAATTTTCTCGATGCGCAGTTAGTTATATCGGAGTAAGATCGGCGTGCCTCATATGCAAAATCACACCAATTCCGCACCGAGTCCAGGATGCCTTAGGCTATCGTTACGTAAGCCCAGCCTACGATAGACTGCGTTCGTCCTCGAAGAATTTTTAAGTTACATAACTTTTGGCGACGCGATGAAGTGAAGGTTGTTTTTTTAGAGACCCTTGCTTTTTTCTGACCCCGTTTTGGGGCTATTCGGGGTTTAAAATGGGGTAAAATCTTGGAGCGCCTGCCTAACGAAGCACCACGACTGGTGTTCGTTAGTTTAACGCTTTAAATAGCCTAAAATGTCTTAAAAAAAGGATTGAGAAAATGAGGAATTTATTTAATCGAAGCTTAAAATGTGTTATGTAACAGAAAACTTCGAGGGTCGTGTTATACAATATGAGATGAACTTCACTTATAATTTGGAAGTGTTCGAATTAGTTTCAATCAGACTGAAGGATAAAACAAAGACTTAGAATTTTAGATATTAGTTTCAAACAGAAAAGTTTTTGCATCTCAAGTATTGCACCTTAGTATATCCAATTTTTATTATTTTAACAATTTGGATAGTATTAAATTTTTGTTCGAGCCTTTGTTTTCTTTGATGAAAAAAAAACTAGTTAGAGACTTTTTTAGTTTGATTTTTGTAAACTTTCATCTATTGTATTCACGTATGTTCCCATGTTATTTATCGGAAGTGAAGTTACACATTCATTTTTCATATGTGTGAATAAAGTTCACTATATTTCAGTTAATTTATTATAATCAACTTCTTATTATTGTTAATTATTTTTTAATTGTTTATAAGTTTTAATGAAACAAAGTTTGGATCATATATACTTTCCTGATTCCGTTGCCACAAAGTTTAATTATTTTTTTTTAATTACGTTATTTTAACACTAAGCGTTTAAGAACGTGATGTTTCGTAGCAATAAGTCACGTAAGTTATACAATTTTATTATGGCCGACAACGACAGACTAGAACGATATTCGAGTACACACTTGGCTTAGGGTCGCAAAGGCGGTTGGATGGGGCGCGCTAGCAGCCATCGTGTCACGTGATCTGCTACGTCATCTTTGTTAAATGTATTTAGTATTTCTGCATTCTATGACTACAGTATCATCAACTCAATAGAGTGTCTTCGCGATAGGCAGGCTTACGGTATCATATATCTGTATCATCTCAAGTTCCGTTAATTTCTTTGTTGTGTTCTTGGGTATCACGGGAAATATGGGCAATTTATTGCGGATGCATCCCGCTTTTTTATTAGCAGTCGTCCGCAACCATTGTATTCTGTAGGCCTGTTTATGATGAGCCATTCTTCATAGTTTAGATGCTGCATAAGTTGATGCTTAGCTTGTTTTTAGCATAAAACGTGTAGCCCCAGGGCTATGAAGTTTAGAAATTTGATATGTCCATTTTTCACACGTGGGGTTACCGCAAAGAAAGTAAGAGTACAGGGTTAGCGGGAGAACGTGACGAAACCCAGTTGCCAGATTATGAAATTTATGAGTAAATTCAATGATAATTCAAATGCATGTTTTAGCTGCGTCAACCCGAGGCTGAGAAATACGAATAACAAACACATTACTGTAGAAAGATAGTTTTAGCGAATGTATTTTGAGATATTTACATATTGAAATGCTTTAAGTAACTTATGCGTGGCTGCATCGCAGTCCTTTTATGTTAGATATTTGATGATTTTTATTTGTTCTGGTCGTCCGTTGCCGTTTTCTAATCAGAGCGAACATTGTTTCATAAGGTCCATCGTAGATTATTGTAAATCAATGTTCCAGTAATCTAAATTTATTCGCATAAATATAACACAAAATAAATGCATTGTATTGTTCTACGATTTAAACAAAGGTCAATTGGTCATTGACCTGTTTACTGGAAGTGAGTTACTGGAAATGGCAGTGTGGTGTTTGTCTGTTTTTTCAAAAGAGTGAGCTGTAAGCTGTGCCATATTATTCCTAGCTAATTTTGACATGGTACTAATATTGTGACCAAAATGCTTGAATTTTTTTCGATGCTTTGCTTCTGTGTACTTTCTCACTTTCTCGAATTTTTCATGGACAGTACACAAATTTTGTTGAGCAAGTCACAAATTTTCTGTCTGAGGAAAACTAAAAAAGAGGGCATTTTTTGAAAATAGGATACCTAATTGTAGTTTGTAGTATACGATACCATGGGTAGAAAATTTTAGGTTTTGAAGTGTTCATATAGTGATTCGATTTTTAAACTATTTCATTGTAGGTTGAATAGGATATTTATTTAAAATGTGCGAGGCTATTATCATCTAACGGGAAAAAATAGTTGACATTTTAGAACGAGGTTTCATTCAATTTTGAGCTCCCGTATATCATATCGCGTGCTTAGATCGTGCAATATCAAACCCAAGTCGAGATTCGATTAGCAATTCCATAATCACGATGCTTGTTGAGAAAGAAGAATGTTCCTTGATATGGCGCCTCTGAGCAATGATCAATCTCAGTTTATAATTACCGTCCAGTTGTTATCAACACTCTCTCTCTTATTTAGTTATTTCTCTCGTTCGCACCATGTTCTCTTATTCTCTCGTTTTTTGGCAAACAAGCAGTGAAAGTCAGTGAACAGCCTTTGCCCATTGCTGCATAGCCATACGATCGATCCACCTATTTTACACAATAAGAACAGTATAGTTTCTTGAAAGAAACTAGTTAAAATTCCAACTTTTAACCGCACAAGATAAAAACATGACTGTGGTCCGCAGCTACACAATATCGTTTCTGAGGCGGACTGATAAGGATGGTAGACCAGGCATTCTGCTCTGTATGTCGGTATTTCTTTCAAAGTCGTATGTAGATACGCAAGTTTGAGGCACTATCGCATAGAGTTAATGCTTGGAAGTATTTATGTGTTTCGGACAGTTATCATCATTTAAATTAAATTTAGCATTATAATTAAATACCGCATCATTCAAGCAAACTACCACAAAACAACTTTTAATCCAGGTAATTTATCTAAACTTTTACACTATAATATTGCTTTGCATAGTTCACAAAAACTCCTTTGTGCCTTGGTCCACATAACAACATTGCAGTCTATATTGTTCTCAAGTTGGAGCTCTTTTCCGGCAGTTTATTGTTCATTACGAGTCCATCACCCCTTGCCTCATATTTTAAGAAATTGTGCGAACTCAGCTGTATTGAAAATAATTCCATATTTTAAACTCTGAGACTGTTTATGGAATGACTGTTTATATATTACTTATGCGAGGTCAATAATGAGTGAACTCGATCAAAAAGTAACATGAAATAATAAAAATTTTGAATAAAAATCAGTCTGACTGGTAAACTAGTAGCATAAACAGTAAGTTTCCTTGGGAACATTTAAAAATGATGCCCTGTCCGATTCATTAGATCGCTTAACGACAAAACATTGATTTTATCTTGTTTCTAAAAACATTAAATTGTTGTTCTATATGGCATTTTGGTATAGCCTGCGGAGCTGTTATAAATATTTAGTATTTTTGAAGGTATTTGTAAGAACTGTTAGTGTTCCCATATAGTTACGCTATACGTTATGGTCTTGTTTGTGTGTAATTTGAGACAAGTTATAAAAATGCATTTTCGTCCCGTTTTACTATCCATCAATGTTTATATATACAACAAACTTTATTCACATTTTTCTTCGAAATTAGTTTTGCAATATATACTTTTATTGGTTAATGTAAAGTATGTGGTATGTTTACCTGTATCGAGAGACTCTTACCCTTGAACTCATTCTCCTACTTATATGGTCCTAATATCCTATTGATATGGTCTTAATCTTGCGTGCTGAAAGCGGTGTGTATAATTGCACTTTCCCTTGTTGCCCTATTGCAATAGTCATTCGCAATTGCAACGCCACACCCTGTTCAGATCGTATCATCTAAGATTTTTAAAGATAAGAGGCTGATAAGGAAATTAATCGCCGTGATAGCCAGTGATTCGCCGAATATCAAATCCAAGCCGGCGTAATTAGCGGAATAAAAAGCGGAGGATAATTAGTAAAAAGCTTTATATAATAAGATTAATAAACTGGAATATAGTTCCCAGCTGACAAAAATATTTTTCTAAACCGGAGTCGGAGTCAATTGCAAATTTTCCCTACCTCACAGCCCTGTTAAGTAAATATTTCGTTTGCTTAACGTGTTTTGGCTTGGCGTGTGGTTAGATAAATGGAGTTGATTGAAGCAGCATTTTACTATTTTTGTTGTATATGTTTCTTTCAGATATTAATGCAATATTATAACATTATATATCTCTTCGAATATCAGTCACAAAGCAACAGAAATTCCCTTCAATAGCGATACCTACTAAATGAATCACAAGGTAGCGCACAAGAGCTGCCCGCCAAATTGATTGGATTATGGGAAAGAGTGAGAGACTGCGAAATTTACTTTGCATAAGCAGACGAAGACGATCATCCTCAACCACGTCGTCCCTAGATAAAAAGGTTTGTTTCACTTTATGAACTCAAATAGAATACGAGAGCAATGGACACGAAAGTCAAATGACTACGCCAACGAGCCTAATACATTTCAATCCGAAATTCCTCCAGCACACTAACACTTAACACACATGTATTTCTGTAACGTTACAGAAATACATTTGTATCAGTGCGCAGCAGGACTCTTAAATTGCATAATATGGTCATGTTTATTCCTGCTACAGTACCCTTGCATTATAGGCATACTGATCCACTAGGACTAGCACCAAGGCTCTGAGTAAGGGTTGAGAGTTAGTCTCGTATAACCCCTACTAACATGTCGCATGTTATCGGTAATCAATACTGGTAACTGGTAAGGACTTGCAACGAATTCGCAAAACGAAATGAGGGACAGCTATGGTAGAATTTGTCACAGAATAAAAGCAATGTTCTCATAGATTACAATAAAACAGCGAAATTTTGGGTCAATTATCATACCTTCTTAGGGCCAACAGTAAAATTAAAAAATATATGTATAAAAATAAAGGTAACAGCCTTCTGGCGACTACCGGTACTTCCAACATGATATTGTTTGGTCCGTTAGTTATAGAGCAAATAACAATTTACTACTATAATTAGTATCATTCTGTATTCTATCTATTGTTCATACTACGCTTGACTCTTTTCATCAATAAATCTCCATATCGCAAAGAGTTCAATTTTCAATCAATATTTCTGATAACTGATGTTTACCTTAACATTAAAAAATAGATAAGCTTTAGGTAAGTTCATGATTAGCTGCAGTCAACGACTCTTGTTTAGGGCAGTGGGTCTTTGCGGAGGTTGATGAACCGGAAGGGATTCACAGGAGGTTTTTGAGAATATCTATTATTGTATTTCGAAACTTGGCTTCTATTTACAAACTAAGCTTAAAGGACATCAACGTGACCTTCTGGTAACGTTATATTTATGAACTTATATTTATGAACTTGATAAATATATGCCAAAACATTATAATATATGGCCCGCATTCTTTTTCTTCATGATAAAAATATAATGTTTGACTCATTCAGTATAAAAAAGGTTCGCCATCCCCGCTATGTAGGTTATAAGATACCCCATATTAAACAAATAAGTTGTACATGTATGTATTCAAAAGTTACGGGAAAAAGTTAATCAATATTTACCGTGGAGATTAATGCTAGTAACAAGAGTGAAACATGAACAAAAAAGTAGTTTTGACAAATGGTATCTTGTACTTGGCTTCCGATAATTCGCAAGTACCGTACATTGGATACAATGTTTTGTTTATAAGTTTTCTGTAATTTGTTGCGAGACGACGATCATCATGTAAAACATAATCATAAGCGCGCTCAATAACGGTTTCTAGTCAGTGCAGTGCAGTATTTGGTATCTCACTATAGCTAATACCTTGACTTGGTACTACATTGCATTACTTCGCGTTTTCGGCTTCAGCTTCCCCGAACTTTTTGGTAGAGACGTTTTTCTATCCAAAGTTCTGGGCCAAGATTAATGCAAATATTGTTAACGTAAGAATGAAAGGGTTTAATTTGATGTTTTGCGGAAACTGGTTTTCTGACGCTAAGTCCATATTCGGATTAATTCAACTGACACTCATGTGGTTGCGCCTATCTCTAATATACTTCTTCACCTAATTAGTCCATAAAACCAGAATCCAGTGGTTTACCGTTTTATAATTTATTCTCAGTCTCCTTGCTGCTGAGATGTATTAAAAAGCTATTCTGTGTTGTTATTGCTCACTTGTTGTTATCATTTATTGTCTATTATTCTATAACAATGTTTTATTTGACCAATGTAAATTAACCAAAATAAGACTTGAAAAAATTTCTAGTAATAATAGGAATAAAATAATGAGTGTTTGAAGTTTAATTTTTGAATTTGATATTAACAATATAGGTGATATAATAATAATTTGTCAATAATTTTGGGGACAAAACATCGCATTTTTCATATTTTTGTATGATTCACATTTGAATTTTAGTAAAAATTGACGCTGTGCGTCTTTTGCGTGCGTAATTATTGGATATTCTACGCAATCTAAGAAGGTCCCATAACAAATGGCGCGTTTCTTCAAACGCGTGGGTAATGAGAAAATGACGCGAATTACGGACTGAGAAATTGAGAGAATATAAAACGAGAACGAACCCGCAATTTTTCATCTTTTTCATTACACCGGTAAACATATTGGATAGAATAAACTGTAATTTATGGAGCAAATTTTGTCAAATAACAAATACCAATATGTTCATGTTATATAAATAATATAACAAAATGAGTGTGAAATAATTATTTTATTAAAATATTGCAGTCGTTGTTTAAAGATTAGTTTTAATCGGGCTTAATATTGTTCTAAAAGTCCAACGATTCCTCATGATGCAAAAATGTCGAAACGTGAAATTTAAAGTAAAGTACACCATGTCCCGAGCTAAATATTGTATGATTCTGTGTCAATATTGTATTAGAATCAAATAAAAAATTATAGATTTCAAATCTGAATCAATACAATCTAAATCTTTCATATTTGCTATTAAAAATTGGGTTCAACGAAGTGAGAAAATCACAATTTGATTTATTAGGGGGGTATTCTGATGCATTTCGATTTTATTTTATGACGTAACAAACAATAATTTGCATTTTAATATCGGGTTCGCATTTTAATCAGTATGTATCACCGTACACATACACATTGCATTTCCCTACTGCCAGCATACTTCAGAGCGAAGATATTAGAGCACAACTTGAAATATTAAACAAATAAATACATTTGATTTCTAACATCCATGATCAAATAACTTTTTGTTAACAATTATAGCGAAGTTGAGACGAGGACGAGTAATATTAACCACCAAGGTAAAGTTAGTAAAACAGCAAGGTTGAGCAAATAGTACATACTATTCTCGTAAATCCAACTCAAATATCGAGCAATGCACTGCTATAAAATAACAGAAAACGAACTGGAATTTATGAGTCAATAAATTACTAAAAATGCCCAAACTGCACACCTCTATATCAAATAGGATTTTAGGCGATAGGGTTTAAAAATATTTACAAATTATTTTACCCATCAACTTATTTTTTCAAGTATTGAAGTCTAACACATTCTTACACGCGACCGCCATATACGTAATGGTAAACAATTCTATGCAAAAATAAATGTTTATGCTGAACGACATAAATGATTATGACAGACTATGATTCTCTGACTATAATTCAAATAAAAAAGTACGCATATTGATAGCCATCAACACTAAAACTGTTTTCAATTTCAACCATTTTCAGTAAATGACAGATTTTCTTCATAAATTAATCTAGTGTTACGTTTTTCGTATAAAATTTCCCGGAAATGTTTTATCATTCGTTTACCCTTATCGCAGACCCAGTTCTGATAAAATATACATCGGCGTCTCAATCGAAATTACAGGAATCATATGACTGGTTAAATATTAGAACAGCCGCCGCCTGTCGACTACGCTTTCACCACGCGTGGAACGTATATAAACCTGATCTAAAAATTGATATTTATACATATATCAAGCAAAACCACATACGTTATGTTGTGTGTTTGCTTCTGACACGTCATAATGGGTAAAATTATATTTTTTCGGCCTTGGCGCGATGATAAATTTCTCTTCGGTTTATGACGTTATATGCGACGTCACAAATATGTGTCACAAAGCTGGGTTTTGGGTTTAGGATAAAATTGCGTAAACGGTATAATGAATGAATGTGAATTATGCCGGTAATTTGCATCAATGAAGTTGTTGTCTGGAGGGAAAGGCGCAGATAGTGTGTACGAGACTGATAACGATGGCAATATAACTACGGACAGAAATATGGAGTTCAGCTATTTGAAACTAGAGGTAATACTGTTGTGTCGGCTTGTGAGATTTTTGATTTGATTCTTGCATGGTAAGGAAAGTAAATTAGGATTAAAATCTCTCGTTTTGGTGACTGAACTTACCGTTTTTCACAGGTAGTTTAGAGCGATAGTTATCCGTTAGTGCATCTACATTTACAGAGCGGGTTGAATACTTGGTTTCAAGCCCTGGTGAACGAAAACCTTACCGAAACGGATTGGTCAGGCTATATTCGAATCTTAAAGATAGATTCTAAGTTTTCCAAGCTGGAAGTTCATGTATGAAAGAATCGTGTATATAGCACCTATATGTTTAAGCTATGATTTCTCAGATTTGGCATTTTGCTCTCTTAGGGTTGCACGTTTCGGTTCACTGGGGGTCATGAGCAAAGGCCTTCACCCGATAGGACAAATTGGTCGTAATTTGTTTAACTCTTTGATTATGATGCATTTATGTATTTGCCCTCCTTATTGACTTCATATTATTAAACGTGGCGCATAAAATAAACGACGGTTATAATAATAATCGCGTTAAAAGCAAAAATAGGTATTTTTAGAAAGAACAACAGGGGCCACAGCTTATGAGAGTTTTTGAAAGCCGTGGATCATGAACGATTAAGAACCACCGGTCTAAGCGTATGAAATTATACGGTTATCCGGCAGGCACATTCTACACAACGAATGTGGTGGTTGCAATATCTCGAAGGCCCTAACTTGATTTGCCAACATCGAATCGGAGTCAAACATGCTGTTTATTATTGTTATTAGATTCATATGTGGTGATTTATGTAGCATGGGATCAAGCAAGCAAAACGTCTAGCTTGTGTGACGAGTTGATTTAAAATGTTGAGAAATTTTTGCGCGTGGTACTAAAATATGCTTTTTTATTTACAGCTGTCTTCTCCGAAACATCTCAGGCAATGTTCAGCGCCACCGAACCAATACTTTACTGGAAATAATGAACAAGAAAGCGTAATGGGAGCTGATCAGAAATCAGTTAAAATCAATACGGAAGAAATTGTCGACAAAATTCTGCCACCAAATTGCGAAAAAGAGCTTGAAATAACTGATAAAATAGTACACGAAATTGCGATTACTCCAAATACCATGCCTATCAGCCACAATGAAATATCAAAACAATGTTCCCAACAAATTAAAAATTCCCATACCATACTTACTCATGATACTGCATCGATGTTTCGTGAATGTACTGTTAGTGGTACACAAAGTTCAATTACTAGTTCCCGTAGAAGTTCGACTCCTACCACCGCAGTATCCGTAAATTCTTCCAATGACGCCGATAACAATCATACTTACGAACGTTTATTGAAACCGGAATACGAAAAGGTGGAAAAAATATTTCCCCAGCGTCGGGGTTCAGCGCAAGAGTCCATAAAAGTTTATCAAAAGGATTTTGTGAGAAGAAAAAGTCGTCCATCATGTCGAAACCAGAATCAAACTGAAACAGACAACGATTCCGCCACAAGTTCCCGCTTCTTACAGACCTCACAGCCCGACTTGCACAGGCGCAAGCAATCACTGAGCAGTAGAAACCAGAGTGCAATGCACACGGGTGATGACGGGGGAGATATGAATACAATCTCGCAATCGCGACTCAGAGAATTATTCAACCCCGAGAGTCAAAAAATTAGTTTCTCAGGTCGACTATTAGATAATCCCTCGGTACCAGAAACTTCTTGTAGTACATGTCCTGATTGTGTTTCCACTCAAGACTCCTCCAAAGACTATAATTGGGGTTGGGTCCTAACACCTCAATCCGAAAACAGTGGTTTAACAAACAGATCCTGCTCTTCTGGATGTAATTCAGCAACCCCAGGTCACCCATATATTAATGACGATGCGACCCCTATTTCTCATGGTAACACAAGAGCTTCTGAAATCGATTTTACAGTCACCCAATACGACGGCAGTATTCTTCATTTTACTGTAATCGGGTCTGCAGTTCACATCCAATTTCCTCAAGAACCAATCACGTCATCGGTGTCTTCTTCGTCCAGACTCCATATTTCACGAATATCATCACAGGATTCTTCTGAGATCCAAGGTAGGAATATTTCATTCAATTTGATCAACTGAAGAGAGTGTGTGGTGTGGTCACTAACGTTCCCAAGCTTTCGTTGAAGGGGAGGGTCAAATAAGTACAATTTTAGACGTCATAGTACGATGTCATATTTTGTATTAGCACACTGGAGGAAATCTACTATAAAACTAACTACTAATATAGTCCTATGACTCCCTTGTCATTTATTCAAGTTTGGATTATCGTCGACTGGTCTAATCTTGCCTAGATATAAATTTGCTTGTTTAAAATTTAAACGACATAATGGGATTTATATATTATTATGACATCACAAGTAATAAACAAATTTTCAAAAGTACATTATGACGTCATTATTGAATTATAGTCATATGGGCCCCCTTGTCACTTTTTCGAGTTTAGATTAACGTCGACTGATCTAACCTTGCACGCAACGCGCTGCCCAAACAGAAAGTTTTCTTGTTTAAATCTTAAAATTTTATCTTGGGAACCAAGATCATACTTAAAAGCTTTGGTTAGGCAGATATGTCATGTCTAGTTTTACCACACCAACCAAATTTCACGACGGGCATAATCTGATTCTATTAATAGTAAAATACAAATTTTTGCATTTCTCATTGTTTTTATCATATTTTTGAAGTTATCTTATCTTGATAAGATTATAACAGTTTCTTTGTGGTATTGATATCCACAGGAAGTATTAAAAAATTGAATATGGAAATATAATTTTACCCAATAGTAATACTAATGCATGCACAACTGGTAAACAGCAAATAACATAGTCTAGTCTACGTTTCGAATGTCTATACTGATAGACATCAGAACAATAAATAGGAAATAAAAGTCGCTACATATAAACAAATGTATAGGACCTAGTGGATTTCATTGATAATAATAGGTTCCATATAGTTATATATATATATACTTATAGAGCAACTGCTCGCTATATTTGTACTTCTGTATTAAAGAATTCTAAATCAAAATGGTCGATTCTTTTTTATATTAACCCAATACAATACAAAATGTCGGCCTGGTTTAAGATAGTGATCGATAACAGGTCGATTTCTCGGAAAATCATTCAATCGTTAACACCATGATATTTAATATGGAAAAATTCAGACGAATGTAGCTTTAACACATCAATTGAGACCGGCAAATTCTTATGGCCAAATTTAATTACATTGTCGAAGTAGCAAATTTATAGAAACCATACCAGCGAAATTGATTCATTGGAAATGCCACATACTCCAATAACAATTGCGTAATAGGTTCCATTACATTTGAACCCACGACAATTGCACCTACATACTACTGCACCTATGGATTTTTTTTGTTTTACGGATATTTGAACCCATACTAACCCTAACCCATGGGTTTTAGCACCCGCATATAGATTGAACCTGCGGATATACACATGGGTTCAAATGTACGGTCGCCGCGTAATATGTCATCAGTTAAATTCAAATTGCGAAATTCGATAGATCGTGACACAATTTGATAAGCATCAATATAAGTGTAATGAAGAAGTAACGCAATATACATAAGTGAGTGATAACGCTTCATCCCGTCTAGTGTGGGTAACCTCTGCGTGGTTTGGGTGAGCGACCTGTCCTTAATCAAATATTATATAGGGAAGGTGAAGGTGTGACCCCGTAAAATTAGCTGAATAAAACTGTACATAGTAAAAAATAGAATATGTGAAGTTAGAATATGTGAAGTCCGATAATTAATAAACCAAGCAGTTTGGTGCATTTCATCATATTCACAGTCATGAGGGTTCCAGTGAATCCTTTATAATTTTTTAATGGTAAATATCGATAGCGTATTTCAGTTTTTTTATTTCTTTGCTATCCGTTGGATATTTGTATAGGAACTATGCAATTGACAATAAAAGTGATATATCATAATCGATTTTATCAAATTGCAACGTTGTCTTTTGAAATTCGACTAATATTTATCGGTATGATTTAGAAATATAGGGTCTAATAGTCAAATCTTACTTTCCTTGGATTAGATTATTACCTGATTTGAAAAGGTAAATATCCAGTTTAGGCCTGAAAGTTCTTGGAAATTCAGAATTTCGTTACGTCTAGAAGCTTGAGGTATTGACCCAACTTGAGTTGTCTTTTATCAAACACTTGAAACACTAACCGCCAGTAAGATTCAACTCACTGATTAACTCGACTCAGCTCGTTTGGCCCGTGAATCGACTAGACTCGCGGTTCAAGGTTTGATCAAAGCTTACCCAGGTCAGTCAACAGTATTCAACGAAGCAAAAACGAGAATATCGGTCGGAGACCGAAGACTTATCGATCGAAAGTTAGGGAATCCCTCAAAACAGCGCTCTTACTCCATAGTGACACCGTGTGTCCCATCACTAATTAATTAATAACTCGCTAATTATACGACATAATTTATCCAAAATAGGCTTCTGGTCCAAGCTATGGTGAATGCACATGCAAAATTTGGAGCAGATTCAACCTCGCTTTCGTGAGATATCGCGTGCATATAACAGACAGACAGACGAACAAACAGACAAATACCTATCAACATACTTACCGATCTTAAGATCGATAAGTAATTATACATTCCCCTCATTTGAAGAACGCAATTTATCTGCGAACAGATTGCTCAAAATCAAATTAATGAGTCATTCATGTAGTAATGCTGTGGAAACAGCATGGCGAACGCAAAGTCACTTTGGGCGAACGGTGTGAGTGTTTTCGAATGATTTTTTCAGCTCTCCCAAACCATCTTGCGGATGCTCTAAATATTAGTTGTAATTTCGTTAATTTGCGGTTCTCGGGTTGTGAGAATTGCGCGCGTTCGGAAGCTAATTTTGCTATCCCAGGTCGAACCTATTCCGTATTCCGATTTAGATTTTCTGTGTACTCGTCGAAATTTGCCAATGTTAGAAATTCTAAATATATTTGAAAAAAAAAATTGAATCAAGAATCATGGTAAGCTATGTTTTATTCATTTGCTTTGGCTACAGAATACCATCTGTAAATGCCAGTAATTTTACATCTATTTTAGAAGTTTAACCGATAACTCTCTCGTTTTTGCGATTTTATATTTCTCTCGTTTGCAAAACAAATTTTTCGTTAATATTTATTTAGTCGGGTCGTTTAATGTCATTGGTCGGGTGGACAGGACAATGAGCGCGAACAATAAAACCCTATTGGTCATATTATTTGTCGATCTCGGAGGGGGTCACAGTGGCGTCATAATACCACGTATATTAAATATGTTGGTACTAGTAACTCCACGAATTTCTACTAATGTAATTCAGTTCAAACACTCATATTTACCTTACCAATGAATCAAGAAGTCGTAATGGCGGTTTGTTGATACGAGTTCGTGTCATTTCATTTCGAGTATTAAATAAGTTGTGACTGGAGTCCAATTCGAGTCGACTCTTCAACATTCTGAATTTCGTAACACGTCCTTTGTCTATAGGCAGAACTAATTGAAATCAATTTAAATATCCCGCCTGTGCCACACCCCATTACGACAATGAGAAAGACGAAACACTTCAAACGGCCTTGAAACTGCTAATCGCATACAAAACAGTCCACGAACGAGAGAGTATGTACATACTTGATACCGCCATGTATATTATCGTGAGAAAGTAAATAATTGTTAAAATAGATTGGCAGATATAAATTATTATGGCACCCATACCACAAAATATTGTACTGAGAATCAGTATGTTTGCTATAGCCATGTCGAGGAAGCGTTCCTCGTCGACAATTGGCAATGAGTTCGAACTTACCATACTCAGTGAAGCTGCCTCTTCAAATAAACGGATGTAAATATTAATATTCAAATTTTATTGATTTGGGGTAGTTCGAATTCGCGCATATTGTAAAGTGATACTTTATAAACCACTCTCACGCTGAAACAGTGCCTATTGCTATTGATCGGCTCGGATTTTCTTCGGTCTTTTTCTCAATTTTGATTACGCCTTATTACTACTAAATTCATCCAATTACTTATTAAGTGTTAATTGCTAAAATGAATTTAAATAGTACAAATCATTCTAAAGTGTTTTTGCACGCTCTTATCAGTTTGCTTCATGTGAAATTTAAAACCAATGTCAGCGTTTCTCACAACTCTAGTTTTAGTACATGTACATTATAAAACGCCAGATTAAGGACATGTATTATGACATAAATTGTAGCTTGGTTTGTTATATACAAAAGCAATAAAATGCTCCTTTTTCCACACCAATTCGAGAATTAAATAGTATTTTTTCCAGAGGTAATTTTTCAGTAGGAGTGCAATTTTGTACTTTCTGGATATAACACATTCATCATTGTGTATTTGGGTTGAAAAAAAAAATTAACAACATGACAATATTACTTTAGCATGAAAATTAATTCGACAGGCGTATCCTGTATTATCTTTAAAGAATATCCTCAGGCGTGTTATGCTTGACCTTAACGTTGTTATAAGGTCACGTGGTTTCCTTTCTCTAAAGGTCAACAAACATGGCAACGTCGGCCACGTACGATACAACAAAAAAATGTCTGGAAATTTATTATTAATAATCATACCTAATAACTAATTATTAATAATTCTGAAAACTGAAACACTGGTATATCCTGATTGAGTGACTTGCCATTGCTAAGGCTTGTATTTCCTTTGAGCTTTGATGATAGTTTCACGCTGTTTGAAATGACATAAAAATTCTAGTTATATAGGTGTATTTTTGTGTAGTATATTTATAGGTTATATACTAAATGTTTAGTATTCTAATTTAAAATTGCCACAAAACAGACCACCAATGTCATGTATCAAGGGAATTATCTTTTTAGAAGGTTCAGTTAATGACGAGAAAATCGTTCTACGAAAACCGCGGGAAACGTTTTCTAACGCGAGTCTTTCATTTGTGTCGATTGTCTTGTAGTTCAAAGAGTAAATTATAGTAGAAGGTTAACTCGAGTAATGGGATTAATTGAAATTCCAATAAAATTTCAGTTCAGACTTGTTTTGTCGGTATT